TATAGCGTAACCATCATCCAGAATTAAGACAATGACTCTTTCATTGCTCAAATGTAAGAGTGGGTGATACCTTTTATTGGACCACTAAACAATCTAACAAATTGCAAGCTTTCATGGAGAAAATTCCACTTCTTCAGGCTTAGCTTAACTCATCCATGGAAGATGCAGAAAAATTGTAGAATCTAAAAATTGATGGTACACCACTGTGAGAGTTGGTGAGACTGCAGTCTAGAGCAACATGGTTTGGACATTTTACACCCCTCTCTTAAGACCAAAAGTCTGCCATTTATTCTGTGATTGCCCCTCACACACACCCTCACATTGCCTGCCACAAAGCTAGCATCCTCTTAGCTTTGGGGTTGGAGAAAAACAACACAAAGATGAAAATACCTGTATCACAATTTAGAGGTTTTAAAAGGTTATAAAAACATGTTTAATTTTGTGTGGTTTTGGGAAACCATACAGCCTTTGCCTTGTTCTTTTCTTCCTGTTCCTGTTATGAAATTCTGAGCTTCCCAAAATATGTCAACCTTGGCATAAATGTTGTATCTCAGAACAAAATTAAAACACAATATTTTTTTGTGCACAAGACCAAGCACACATGCACGCACGCACGCACGCACGCACGCACACACACACACACACACAGAGAGAGAGAGAGAGAGAGAGAGAGAGAGAGAGCTATGAAGACCTCAGGCCAAGAGTGACACAACTTCTGTAGGCAATGAGAATGTTTTGCATTAAGGTCTTCATACAACATTATAGTGAGGTAGCCTGTAGAGAAACACAGAGGCAGTCCATGTTGAAAACACTCCTTCTTGGTTATCAAACCTGAATAATAATCAAATAAGATTCATGGCCACCTCTGAGGAAAAAAAAATCTCCTTTGTCTCATTCACAAGAGGGACACTTTAAATGGACTGTGTGAGTATGTGTGGATACATGTGTTCATTTGTAACCATGGCAGGGGTTAATGTATTTCACCTCATACTAGCTTCTCAAGCCAGCTTCTCAACATCATGGGAGTCCAAGACCATTTGTGATGATGCTTCTGTATCTGGACCTATGACTATATCTCCCAAAGGCTCTGTTGTCCATGCTTTTGTATAAACATTAGATGCAGGGAAGCCTACCTACACAGACTTCTCTACTGATATGATATGATTCTTTTATACAGTGGTGCCCCGCAAGACAATGTTAATTCATTCCACTGAAATTGCTGTCTTGTGAAAACATCATCTTGTGAAATGTGGTTCCCCATTGGAATACATTGAAATCCATTTAATGCATTCCAATAGGGAAAAATTGTTGTTTTGTGAAAATCGTCCATTGGAAAACCATTTTGCAAAGGGCCAACTTGTTTTGTGAAAATCGGCCATTGGAAAACCATTTTGCAAAGGGCCAATCAGCTGTAAAAATCGGTGTCTTGTGAAAAACGGTCCCAGAAACACCCGTTCTGCGAAGCGCCGATCAGCTGTCAAAATTGTCGTCTTGTGAAAAATGGTCCCCCCCCAAAAAAAAACATTTGCGAAGCACGGTCCGAAACATCATCCAGTGAAAATCAGCCATAGGAAACACCGTTTTGTGAAGTGCTATAGCAATCGCAAAAACTCATCGTCTAGCAAATAAACTGTTTTGTGGGGTAATCATCTAGTGGGGCACCACTGTACTAAATCTCTCTCTCTCTCAATTTTTCCAGATTCATGGAGTCTTCTTGCTATATGTCTCGGCTGCCTTGCCTCAGAGATCCCAATGCACTGACATTGAGTCAAGAAGGAAGGCACACCAATGGCAAAGGGCCAGAGACAATGCCCAGACTCCTCTTTAGACTTATATATCCATTCACATGAAGAAACATATAACAGAACATATAACATATAACAGTCATCAACAGAAGGCAATAAAACTGTCTCTCAAACCTCTTTGTTTTCTTTCCACATTTCCCTATGTGCCAAAGAAGAAGGAGAATGCTAATTGTTTTGATCACAGTTGAAATCTCTTGAGAATTGAGGTTCCGGAGACAGTTTTCATGGGAGAGTTTTATTTATTTATTTTGAGAAGTATTTATTCAGTTAACTTACCAGGCAGCTAAAGGATGACTCTGTATTAGAGATCAAGGCACATATACTATTCTACAGAAAGCTGATTAACTACGAGGAAAGGAGACAACAATTTTAAAGACAGTTCAAGTATTGTAGGCAATCTGAAGGATATCAGTGAGTGTGGATCCTATTATGGCTATCACGAAGTTTATATCATAAACTTCACCAAGCTTATTTTTAAACCCAGTTGCTTTGGTGAAAGGAAGTGAAAAAGGTCAAAGTCAACAGATTTTGGTTGGTAATCACTCTTGTGTGTGTCTGTGTCTGTGTGTGTCTGTATGTCTGTGCATATGAACATGTTTCAAAAAAGAAGGTCATGAAAATCATTGTCTGTGTGAATGATGAATATTTCCAATCAATATTAATCTTCTTGCATGTTACAGAGGAACAGAGTCACTGTCAAGCCAGCTGTCTGAATTTTTGGCACTCCTGGCTTTGAGACTTCATCTGGAACCAGGAACTGGTTTTTTATGTTTGAACCAAGATTTTTACCTGCTTTCTTCTAGCCGATTGCAGAATAGTTTGCAAAATCATTCAGTTTCACCAATATGAAAAAAATGATATCCATCTGAATACTCTTAGTATTTATCATTTATTTGGGTGGGAAATAGGTTTGGGTTTCATCATCTCCATTCTTTCTTCCTCACCAAACAGCTGGGTTAGAACTCTAGATACATGTCTAATGCACACAGTGTGTAGAGTTGCTCAGGCTACATATTCATGTAGCACAAACATCACACAAAGTAATGGGACTTATCACACAGTAGGCATGCATAGATTGAATTGGTTGTTGTGGGTTTTTCGGGCTCTTTGGCTGTGTTCTGAAGGTTGTTCTTCCTAACATTTCATCAGTCTCTGTGGCCATCATTTTCAAAAGGACAGCACTCTGTGCTCTGGTGTAGTTGGCTAGGGAGTGCAGTATTTATGGCTGTGAGATAGGCTTTTGTCTTTTTTTGTCTTTTTCTGTAGATGGGTGATTAGTGTGTCTTGTTGTGGGTTTATTGTTGTGCTAAGGAGAAGAGATTATCTGTCACTGTAGTTGGACACCCATCAACCACAGTGACAAATTATCTCTTCTCTTTAGCACAACAATACATCCACAACAAGACACACTAATCACCCATCTACAGAAAAAGACAAAAAAGAGAGACAAAAGCCTATCTCACAGCCATAAATACTGTACTCCCAAACAAACTACACCAGAGCACAGAGTTCTGTCCTCTGAAGATGCTGGCTGTCAGCACCCCCATGTTCCCTCTAGGAGAGGTGAGAACCCCTGAACTTGATTGCGGGACTATGGGTTTGACACCAGCCAGAGAAACTGGCAAAATGTTAGGAAGAACAACCTTCAGAACACGGCCAAAGAGCCCAAAAAACCCACAACAACCATTAGATCCCGGCTGTGAAAGCCTTCATGAATACATAGATTGAATTGTTAGAAAATGCAAATGAGATAAGTAGCATCTGTCTAGCCTTATCTAAACACAGCCAAGTCAAGTATATTTACCACAGGTTGCAGGAAGTTCTACCTGTTATTCCTACCTTTTCAGTTCTGTGGCTCTCATATGTGTGAAAAAAAATGAGTCTGAAGAGGAGAGCCTCTACTCTCCTTGGGCATTCTTCATATGAGTTGGAAATCAATGTCCAAACTCATGTGAAGCTCCTATTCAAACATCGTTTTCCATACATTAGAAAACTTGTGTAACTGTTGGACAAACTCCTGTAAACCAGTTGTGGGTTATTTTGTTTGCTCTTTTCATTGGAGAGGACAATCTCTGGATCATGAGTTAGCAGCTGGCAAAATGTGACCTCACAAAAGTTGTGAGATTGCAACTCCAAGCATTTATCATTATTATGTTGTTTATGGCTGTTGGGAGGTACAATACAAGAATATCTGGAAGGCCACAGCTGACCCACATCTGTGAGAGGGGCTGGACTCAATGATCCATAGGATCTCTTCCAGTCCTGCAGTCTTAAAATGATGGTGATAAATGAGCTTTCTATCTGAGTGTGATTTGGCAGTGTGCCCAGCATGCAGATTCATTCATGATAATCTTATCATGAAGTCAGAATATAGTACTCAGTTTCTAAGTAATACATAATGTTAGGAAGTGTGTGACCAATGTAACAATAATGAAACACACTCAATTATACCAACTCTGACTTATTTTTTCTGTTGAAATAGAAGGGAGACACAGTGGACTTGTGATGGTTTATAATTTCTATCAATGATTTTTTTCAACTGATATCTCACTTTAAAAATAAATGAATTTTGAAATAAAAGGACAAGACCAATAAACCTTCAGGAAGAGAAAAGGAAATGGGAGCTACATTTTCAATATGGAAATTGCATCCATTGAAGTGTAATGATAAAACCACACCGAGAATGCATCACCTGGACATTGTTTTAAATGCAGATGAATAAAATTGACATAGGTTGTAGTGAGTATGCCCATAGTAGGGTGTATTTCGAACTAAACATTTCTAAATAAATAGGAGCTGATAATAATTTTTATAGATTATTAGCCAAAATCCTGTTGCATATGAATGTATATGTAACTCAATGTTGTGCCCAAATCTAGTTCTAGTTGTGCTAGCATCAAGGTGGAAGGGCAAATACAAAAAACACTTGTGTTGGCATGTTCCACAATTCATCATGCTGGAGAATCATGCTAAATAGTTCAATTGCATAGAGTAACTCTTGCTAACAAACACAATGCCTGTAACATTTACACTGGTGTAAGCTTGCATTAAAATAGCATGAACAGGATATTGCCCACTATTGCCTCATATCACCATTTACTTAATGTTCGTAGTACGACGACATAACATTTTTGTATATTTTAACCTATCTCTCTTTCCATTCATACAGATTGTAGAGACTTTTGTTACCTCCCCATGGAAAATCACACTAGACTCACAGAATTTATGCTGTTGGGACTTTCAAGTGATCCACAAGCACAGGTCTTTCTCTTCTTTGTCTTCTTAATAATATATGCCACAACATTCACTGGAAACTCTGCCATCATTTTCATAGTCAAGACTGAAACAAGCCTTCACACCCCCATGTTCTTTTTTCTCAGTCATCTGGCCCTCGTTGATATTTGCTACTCCTCCGTCACTGTCCCAAAGATGCTGGAAACTCTTCTAGCCACAAAGAAATCCATTTCCCTGGTCGGATGTATCACACAGATTTTCTTCTTTAATCATTTTGTTTGTGCTGATGTTTTTCTGCTTTCAGCCATGGCCTATGACAGATATGTTGCAATATGTGACCCGCTCCATTATTCAACAGTAATGACAAAGACCATGTGCTGGCAAATGGTGGGAGGAGCCTGGTTCATGGGCTTATTTGATGCAATGCTCAATGGATTGCCATTTATGCATTTGAACTTCTGTAGACACAATCTACTCAACCACTATACCTGTGAAATTTCTGCAGTTCTGAGCTTGTCTTGTAGTGGGACTTCCCTCAATTATAAGCTCTTATTTGCCTCTTGTTTTCTCTTTGGTTTCAGTTCCTTCCTCCTCATCCTTGTCTCTTACATTTATATTATTTCTACCATCCTCAAGATTCAGGCTGGAAAACGCAGGAGTAAAGCCTTTTCTACCTGCAGCTCTCACCTCATTGTGGTTTGTCTCTTTTATCTATCAGTTTTCTCCAGATATTTGCAGCCACGTTCAGAGTCCTTCACAGATTTTGACAAAGTGAGCTCTATCCAGTACTTAGTTTTAAGTCCTCTGCTAAACCCCATCATATATAGTCTGAAAAACAAAGAACTGAAAACTATTCTGTGGAAAATGTGTGAGAAACATGGGTAAAATTGGAAAGAAGCTTTGCTATATCAGCTATAGTCCTATATCCAACATATCTTTCATGAGATTTGAAAGTGCTCATCATTCCTAAATTTTGTCTCTCTCTGTGTGTACAACCTGTTTGAAGAGATAGGACCAATTTTTTTTTCTAAGTCATTACACATTTGGGCAGAACAGGGTTTTTTTCAGCAAACTGAGGAAATGAGACCTACTACTTGTATTTGTTTAGACAGTAATATTTTTAAACTTAATCCCAGGAGTAGAAATTGAACCACAAAGCAACATCATGCTGTGAATTGGACCATTTTGTGGCTTGTTTCAGGGTGCTTTGGGGAAAGATTCCTTAGAATAAAATGAAACACTGAACTATTATTGTCTTTGACAATTTATTTGTGGGTTATAACTTGGACAATCCAAACCCAGTCTTTACCAAACATGGAAGGGATGGGGAGGAGAGCAATCTGAAGACTTGCTGCAGGTTTGGCATCTTTAACTCACATGGGGGGCTGTTCTACTGCTCCGCGAAATCCTGAATCACCTATACCGCAAAATAATTTGTTTCACTGGGAAGACTGTGAAGGTTTTTGGTTCGTAGTTTGTGAACAGCAATGAGCCGTGTATCATCACAAACTTCTATACTCCAGCTTTGTGCCCATCTCTACAGATTAGATTAATACACCTCTTGTCTTACCCAGAGGGAGCGTCGGTCAATGATGCCATACCTCAGGAACTTTGTACCATGCGTTACACCTCCTTTGATGAGGCAGTTCACATTGTGAGAAATTGTGGGGCCGAGATGGCGAAATGTGATATAAAATCAGCTATTACACCTCCTTTGACGAGGCAGTTCACATGGTGAGAAAGTGCGGTGTAGGGGCGGAGATGGCGAAATGTGATATAAAATCAGCTTTCTGGATTTTACTAATTCACCCTCAGGATTTTGACCTGTTAGCATTTCATTTTCAGGGATTCTTTTACTTTGACAAAGCTTTGCTGATGGGCTGCTCGGTTTCAAGTGCTGCATTTGAATGATTCAGCTCATTTATCGTGGATTCTTTTACTTTGACAGAGCTTTGCTGATGGGCTGCTCGGTTTCATATGCTGCATTTGAACGATTCAGCTCATTTATCGAGTGGAAGCTCAGGAGCAGGATGGGCTGTAAATCCACAGCCCATTATTTAGATTATTACCTTTTTTTGTGGGGAAAGGAATTTAGAAAAGTGTAGATTTATTTTAAACACTTTTCAATGAATGGCAGAGGAGCTAGGTTTACCCTTTGTGGAAGAAAAAATGGAGACCAACTATGTCCCTTACTTTTTGAGGCATTGAGCTAGATATGGGTCAACAGACATTGAAGCTGCCTGAAAACAAGAATGGCAGAGGAGCTAGGTTTACCCTTGGCGGAGGAAAAAATGGAGGGACCAGCTATGTCTCTTACTTTTTGAGGCATTGAGCTAGATACGGTTCAACAGACATTGAAGCTGCCTGAAAACAAATTGGCTGACTAGATTAGGATAGCCACACCGTTGCAAAAAAGAAAGGTTTCTCTGCAAGAGCTTCAGGAGATTGTGGAACACTTGAACTTTGCTTGCAGAGTGGTGGCACCTGGGCACGCATTTTTGTGCTGGCTTTGCGATATCATGAAGGGCCTTCGATGCCCACAGCATAAGACTAGGGTTACAGGCAGTATGAAGGAAGACCTACAGGTTTGGAGTCAGTTTTTACCAGGGTTCAATGGGATATCTTTCTGGAGAGTTGAAATAGGGCTGAAGGCGGACTTTTAGGTCCACTCAGAAGCAGCAGGATCTCTTGGGTTTGGAATCTATTTTAGAGGTAGATGGTGTGCTGGCACATGGCCCAAAGAGTGGCATCAGACTGACATTACCAGGGATTTAACATTCCTAGAATTTTCCCAATAGTTGGTGTGCTGTGGCTGTGGGCTGAGGAGTGGTCAAACTCGCAAATTTGATGTGACAATCAGGTGGTTGTTTATATCATAAACAACTTTATGTCACATTCAGAATGGGTTGTGTCTTTAGTCAGGGCATTCACCTTACGGGCCCTGCAGTTTAACATATTAGTGCAGACCTGTAACATACAGCCCTGGCCTCACCTGTCCATCACAGCTGGGCAGTGGAACATCAGCCAATGAGGGGACGGAGGGTGGTGCAGAAGGGGGAGGAGCTGAAATATAAAAGGGGGTGAGTGAGGTGTGGGGATAGATGGAGAGATGGATAGATTGAGAAATTGAGAGTTAGTGATTAGCATGTTAGTAGGCCTGTGAGCCAAAATAGTCAGTGAGGAAAAGTCTGCGTGATTTAATGAATGAGAAACAGTGATTTACAACTTGATTTACTACCTGTGATTTACTTATTTAATTTTGTTATTCCAATAAACAAGTTTTGTTTGGAAGAAACACTTGTCCTTTTTGAATATTGATTATAATTGGTGGCAGCAGTTGAAGAAGAGTAGTGAGCACTCCTGGAGGCCTGAGTTGGCAGAGGCTTCAGAGTGACCCGCTACAAGACCCGACATGTACCAGGTATAGAAAATAGATTAGCTGATGTATTGTTGCACCAACAGATTGAGCTGTTCAGGGAGCTAGATCCCGGAGCCAAAGAGTTCCTGGAAATTCTGCCTCCAGAGGTCTGGACTCAGCATTGCATGAAAGGAGGGAACCAATTTCTCTCCGGTCGCCCAGCTTGCTTCTCGTTTGGAGAAATTGGCTCTCTCCTTTCACCCAATGCTACCGTGGCTGCTGAGTCTGGGCTGAGCTCAGTCCCTGGCCCAGCACAAAGGGGACTCAGCAGCCGCGGCACCATTGGGTGAAAGGAGGGAGCCGATTTCTCCCCAGCCACCCAGCTTGCTTCTTGTTTGGAGAAGCAAGCTGGGCGGCCAAGGAGAAATCAGCTCCCTCCTTTCACCTGATGCTGAGTCTCCTTCGCACCGGGCTGAGCTCAGTCCCTGGCCCGGCGCGAAGGGGACTCAGCAGCCGTGACATCGGTTGAAAAGCTGTGCTTAACCAGCACCATGGGAGGACTTCGGCTAGAACGAATTAATTGGTTTCCAATGCATTCCTATGGGAAATGCTGGCTCGATTTATGAACTTTCCAATTTATGAACTGACTTCCGGGGATTACGTTCGTAAATCGAGGGTTGATGGTACAGCATTCTTTTTTTAAAAGAAATAATAATATCTCACTGCAGGAAGTTATGATGAGGGGGCAGAAGCTTGAACTGAACGTTCGTAACTTGAGGGTTGACTATAGTACCTAATCATGTAATAAAACACCACTAAGTTACCAGCACTCTTTGGTTACAGTATCATCATCTACAAAAGGCACTGTTAAATTATCCTTTAAAGAAAATGAAAAATAATCAAATAGCCATCTCATTTGGACAAAAAATACAGTATGACCAGCATGTGGCATTAAGAAGATGACTGTTTTGTTGCTTTGGGGATAATGAACTTTACTTTTACTTTACTTTATTTAGATTTATACCCTGCCCCTCTAGACAAAGTCTACTGAATGAAGTGCTGAGCTTACCAAGAGAAGGTAGTCTTGGCATGAATGTTGTTTCTGAGAACAAAACTAGAACAATATGGAGCACTGAGCATATATAAACACAT